GCTTCAGAGTTGGCCTTGAGGAGAAGTCCTCAGCGCTGTTAGGCAGCTGCTACCCTTCCTTTATTTATCAGGAGGGACATCTTGGTGAAGACAGGGTCACTCCTTCGTCAGCATCCATTTCTAGTTCGCCACACAAGATCCTCATCCTTTTTGAGCGTTTACTGCTCCCCGCCGCTGCCAGGTTTGATGTCACAAACCCAGGCTGGGGGATTCAGAGAAGGAGCAGCAGCACGTCAGCTGTAATTGAAAGCGACAAAAGGAGTTCAGCTTTACCAGGCACGTTTAGATGCTCTGTTCAGATACAGGTCTGGTTGAGGCTTGGTGTCCTGGATCGAGCTGCGCGGGATTTGAAATTGCCACCCAAGTGTGCTTGTGCCGCGACTTCTTCGTAAAACTTGGTCCACCAAAATAGCAGAAATACCCGAAAAAGCACATCTTTTGACCAGAGCTCCGGTCATCCTGGGCCAGATGCCAGAAGAAAGGCCTTAAGGAAGGTTATGGCAGTAACACCGAGCTGCTTCCCCATCAGAAACACACCCGGAGCCTGCTGCAGTCCCTGGCACTAAGTGCTCCCTTTGCCACCCTTCGTTTTACTGCAAGAGCACAACTTGCTCCTGGGAGGTGGAACTGCCCGAGCAGCCATCCCTCACACCATGTGAAACACACCTGTGTTAGTGGGGGCCCCCAAACCATTAATTACCAAAACCCCATGCAAACTGAGCATTGCCATGGCAACCTGCAGCCCTCCAGAAGGCTATTTGTCTCCTCCTTGACCTTTCAGGAGATCTGTATCTTGCTCAAGCCCCCTTCTCTAATCCGGTTTTTAAAATATAATATTATGCTACTGGAAGGGATCAGACCTTTAATCTGATTGTGTGTGCATGTGTGTTTGTGCGTGGGGGGGGGGTGCCTGCATTAACAGGCACCCGGCAGCGATGCGGAGACGAGACAAAGGAAGAGCAGAGCGTGCCTGTGCCCTGCTGGGGCTGCAAGTGAGCACCTGGGAGGAATTGCTCCCTGCAGCACATGGAGGGGGAAATCCTCCAATCCTCCTCGTGGCAGGACCTGCCCTCTCCAGTCCCCCCGGGGCAGGCTCCTTCCCTCTGGGGTCAGGCAAGAGTTGTGCTCTTGCTGCTGAGGGCTGCGGAGGCGATGCTCTCGCACCCCTGTTGGGTTTTTCCTTCCAGGAAGCCTCAAGCCTCGTCTTCAGCTGCATTAATTTGTGGTGCAAGCACCCAGGTGAATGCTGGTATTCCTGAAGCATCTTAGTTCTGCATCTCAGTAGCCCATTTTTCTTGTTGTGTTCCCTCTGGGGGAGCACTCTTCAGTCCTGCGTTGGCTCTGCTGCTGGATCCCTGAGCCCAGGAGTTTGTTTCCCGTTCTGTGTACACTGGGATTAATGGGAGCAATTTAGGGGGTGTGTAAAGAAGAGGAACAACTGGCCTTTTTGAAAACACTTCTTGTGCCATGAGAGCAAACTGAGCACCCCACATCCTGGGTGAGGGCATCACTTCTGTGCCGCGCCAGCTGTTGAGGCAGCCCCAAAACCTGAGCACGTCCATGAGATGGGCTCAGACAGAGGGGGCTTTTTGCATGGGATGCGGGCACAAAAATCCAGCAGGAGTGGGGGGGAGGAATCAGGGACCAGGTGGTCAAAGGGAATTGATGCAGGGCCATCATCGACCACCTGGAAGCCAAGAGCTGCCCAGGTGCCCCTCGTTTTGCAGTGCAGCGGTGCTTGCTGGGGCAGCGCATGGTTTGCCTTCGGGAAAGGTAGGTGCTGGCTTGAATCTTTCCAGAAACTGTTTTCTGTTGAGAAACACGCTAGGCTGTTTCTAGGAGTTGGATGGCAGGTGGACAAGGCAGGGGGTGAGGCAGTGAAGGTGCAAAGGCAGTTGCAGTGTTGGAGTCCAAGGTGGTGACCGTGCAGAAGCAGGGTGACTTCTGAGACTGGCTGGTGGCTGGGCAGAGCCCTACCTCCTGGCTGAGGGGAGACCCTGAGGTTCTGTTAAAAAATTAAACTTTGACTGGTTGTGTTTTTCAATGGCATTGGGATGAAAAGCAGCCAGTTGGGCTTCGCCCTTTAGAGGCTCAGGAGGGTCTCTGCTGAAAACGAGGCCGGTTTGCTGCCTTGAGCAGGTATAGGTGAGGTGGAGGTGGCAGAGCTGCTGCCTGCAGAGCTGAAGCTGGTTTGATTTTGTGCCCCCAGCATGGTGGCAGAACCCCCTGGGGTCCAAGCAGAGCCTTCCCCAAGAACATCCCTTGTTGGAGAGCCCACACGGTCACTGGGGTCTGACTGCAGCTGCGTGGAGCCAGCTGGGTCTGCAATATTAAAAAAAAAAAATGCTTAAAATCTTGACCTAAGCAGCAAGGTATTTCAATTTTTCATGAGCTGATCCAGCCACCCCTCGGTGTTTCTTTTCTCCTGCTAAGACTGAGCCCCAGCTCCGAGCTGCCTCCCGTCGTGCCGGCTGTGGAAGAAGCCCAGAACAAAAAGGCAGCCCCAGCTTCAAGCCTCCCGCACGGCGAGGCAGAGGAACAGCTCCTGGGGACAGGCTGATGTGTTAAAAGCTGCCCGAGCTGCAGTCCTGCTCCCCTTTCCTCTCAATGTCACCTTGGTGCTCGCTTTGCCTTCTGCAAAGGTGTCCCAGCAAGGTTGTGATTCCTGGGCTCCTGCCTGGCTGCGTGGGGAGGCTGAGCTGGGTTCAAAGCCTGCTTGGGTTCCCGAGCCTGCCTGGAGTTCGGACTCGCAAACACGCCTTTTGATACCATGACAATCTTAAATTCAAGGTCATGGAAAATCTGAAAACGTCAATTTCTTTCTGGAAGGAAAAGACCCGTTCTGGTTTCCAGCGGCTGCGTCAGGTTGAGCCGCGTTTGGGAGTCGCCGTGCCCTTTTCCAGAAAGAGAGGCAGCTGCGCTTTAGTGGTGGATAAAAACCCAATTCCTTTTCATAGCTCTCTTGCCGTGTTTACGTGTGAGAGGGGCTTTGGGCTCGTTTGGGATGCAAGGCACTCTGCAAATGCAAAGATGTAATTATCCCATTTTTCTCTTCCTACTCCCTGCCTTCTCCCTCTGCACTTGTGGCTCATCTCCTCCGCCCTTTCCCGAGCGGAGTGCTGATGGCAGCGTTTATCTGCATTTGTCCTCTGTCCCTGACATCCAGTTATTGATTGGCATGATTAAAAAGAACTGATAATCACTTCACATTAATCCCATAAATGACTTAAGACACCCAAATATTTGCATAATGCATCTTAAAGGTGGCAGCTAAAAGAGGATAAGACCCAAAACTGCTTGGCGCAGGAGAAACGGGCTTCCCACTCACCTGTGGGCTTGCTTAAGTAATTAGCCTTCTGCTTGCATAAGGAGGAATCTGAACTGGTTTAGCGGAGGAAGATGCAGTGGGTGCTCAAAGGCTTTGGGATTTGAGCATCCAGCCCCGGTGCTGGGGCCGCGGGGGGAGCAGCGGGGAGCGGGGCAGCGGCTGCTGCTGCAACGGGAGCCCGGTCGTGTCTGCTGCCTCTCGTGAAAATCTGGAGCCAGACGCCCGCTGAAAGTACCTCTGTCTAAAGACTTTCTGTCATAAACTTATCTGATTAGCGGGGAGCTAGACGACAGATTAGCCCCTGCTTCTGCACCGGGGCTGGGCTCCCCGGAGCATCTGAGCAGATCCGGGGCTGGTGCCCAGAGCCGCTGGCAGGTGGGGAGGAGGTGGGGGGGGAGAGGAGGGGGATATATTTAAGGGAAGAGGATCGCGGGGTGGCTCTGCAGATAATGCACCCTCCGTGCTGTCCCGCGGGTCCCAGGTGAGGACACTTTCTGCGGCAGGGAGCTGGTGGCCATGTGCTGCCTGTGGCAGCGGCACCGAGCGGGCGCGCTCCTCCTGTGAGTAGGGGCCGGGAGGGCAACGGGCACGGGGGCACGGCTCCGCTGCTGTCCCGTGGGGTTTTGTAAGTGTCTCTGCTTCCTCTGCCCCTCGCCTTCCTTTTAGGAAGGGGGGAGGAAGGAAAAGAGCCACGTCTCGCTCGGAGCAAGCACCTCGTGCTGGAAGGATGGGTGCTTAAACGTAGACGCAACCCAAAAAGGAGGGAGATGATCCAGCGTTTCCATTTAGTATCACGTATAGGGTTGGTTGTTTTTTTTTTTTGCTTGTTCTTCCTCTTCAGTGTTTGTGCATCGTTTATTGAGAAATATTTTGCAAGAGCTTTGCAAGCCAAAGCATTTGCCAGCTGAACTGCAGTATCTGCTACAGCGACTGTCTTTTTGCGCTTGTGCTCTCCCTCTCCATAGAAGGAGAAAAGCAAAAAGACTGAAGTAGCCTACTCGACAGCAGCCTGAGAGCAGGCACAGTAATGCTGAACCATTCTGTGTGCTCTCAGCCCAGAAAGAAGGGAGAATTATTTCAGGAGTGAAGAGTTGAAAATTAGTTTTGTAAATAAATCTGAGCCGTGGGCTCGGAGTGATGCAGATGGCCAGGTTCACGGTGGGTTTCTCTCCAAGAAGAAAAACAATTATTCAAGTAAATAAAGTAGGCTTGCGTTCCAGCAGTGATGGAATGGAAAAACTTACTTTTTTGAGAATAGAGGGGTGGCAGCTGATAGAAGACTATCAGTTATTTCAGTTCAAGTTTCCTATTAATTCGGGAACAGATCTGCCAATTCGTGTGCTTTCAGTTTTTCCATCTGAGATGTAAGTTCTGGCCCACGCAAGTTATATCTGGCAGCACTGAAATCAGGAGCTCTGGCAGCTGCCGAGCACTTTATGGGAAATGAGAGGGCTGCTTGGGAAGTGCTTCGTGCTCGCTCTCCGCTCCCCAAAAGTAGAGGAGGTTACCTTGGAGCCTGGCGGCTGGGGGGGGGGAGAACCTTTCCTGCAAGGCGGCGATGTCGGGGGCAAACAAAAGCAGCTTGCGCACGCGTACGCACATGCACACAGAAATCAATTACGTGGTGGCAAATAGGATTTCCTTAACTTGGTGCTTTTCTGCTCTGTTGCAGCCGTGATAACGACCTCTCCACTATCATCTCCAACCTGCATCAGAGCCGTCAGCTCGTTATGCCAGAGACCCAGAGCCGCTGTGAATTCAAGAGGAACAGCATCGACGTTGGCTTGGGAGCAGCAGGTAAGGGGCTGGAGCAGGTCCTGCTGGCTGGGGCTCGGCGACTTCCCTCCCTTCTCTTTCACCCCTCCCTTTGTGCATTTTTTCAATTTCTTTTTTTTCCTTTTTTCCTTTTTTTTTTTTTTTTTTTCCCCGTGGCTCTTCGTGTTACACTTCAGAGTGAGCTACGTGAAGTCTCTTAATATTCTGGCCGGAGATTAACATGGGAAGGATTTCTTGGTGTTAAAGTGGTGCGGTCTTTTGAGATCTCAGCCCTGCTTTATTCTCAAATCTAGTGGTCTGTGTTAAACTACTGGCAAAGGAGCTTGCGCCAGCAAAGAAGTGAAATGTCCCCAGGGTTAGTGTCAAGTGAAGCAGAAAGGCCTTGCAGAGAGCACGGTTTGATTTGTAATTTCATTAATCAGAGGTTCCCCATGCTGCCTCTGTGCCTGCCAACTCCTTTGTGAGTGTGTGTTTGTTTGGTTTTGGACTGCTACCTGGCTTTTTTCTTTCTCTTTTTTCTTTTTTTTTTTTTTTGTTTTTGTTTTTGGAAGTTGAACTTCTTTGACGTGGTGAAAGCAGAAGTGCTGTGCCCGTCTGGATGTCAGGAAGGGGATGCTTTGGTGCTGGCTGCGCATCAGCCAACAAGTGAGGCACTGGTAACAAAGCAGAGCTCTGCTTGCAGAGCCTACGGTTTGCTTTGGAGAATAATTAAAAGTTGAGGAAAAAGTGGGAGTAATGTTGGCTTCTCTATTCTCTGTAGGGAAAACAGCAATCTCTCTGCTTCCAAATCAGACCCGGCTCTCTCTGTGCCTGTTAATGTTAGGCCTTCCCTGAAAATCTCTGTGTGGTTTTGTCCCTACTTGCCTCTAAGTCATTCTGTTGACCGTGTAACGTAACCAAGGATCCGAAGGGAAGAGCGCCACGTCTAATGCACTTTGGGAAGGTCTCTGGAGGCACCTGGTTTGCCTTTTGCTGAGGCTTGGCCCCTTTCCTCCTGCCTGCAGTGGCACCTGGGCTGCTGCAACCGCTTCTGCAGGGAGCACTGAGTCCCACGTGTGTGTAGGGCTGAGCTGGGGGATTTGGGCTGGCTGTAGGGCAGCCACGAGCAGCTCCTCCTCCTCGCTTGCACAGCTGAATCTCCCTTTTCTCTTCGTTACACAGCTCCAAAAGGCACGCTGGCCAGAGAGATAAGTTGTTCTCTACGACGTTACTCATGTCTGGATGTCTCAGCTGACCTCGCGTGTTAAAATGGGTTTTAATAATGTTTGCTGCCCGGGGAGGCTGCTGGGCTTTATCAGCGCTGCTGAAATTCTCCGAGATCCTTAACGTTCCAGAAATGCAAAGTGCACTTTTCATTCCCGTCAGTGTTAAACAGGAGCAAAGATTAGATGGCGAGGTCCTCGTTTGTACTTGCTAGAATTCGTGCTCGAGGTTCTCCGGTTAGCTTCCTAACCGAAAGAAACGGTGAGAAATCTGACACACAGGCACCACGCAGGGGCTGTGGCAGTGGGGCCGGCGGCGCTTGGCTCTGATCCCAAGGAAAGGCTGAGCGATGAAAAAGCAGAGGGCTCGTTCACACGAGAGGCCACCAAGCAAGTGACAGAGCCTTTCAGGACGTGATAGATCTGGTGTGTCTAAAGAGAGCCGACCAGCAAAAGAGCAGCTGGGGGCATGGTGGGGATGTTGGCTATCCGAAGGGAGAGGGGCTTTGTCCCATCTCCGCGGGGATGGTTCAGCTCTTGCTTTGTCCCTGCTGCCTGGCAATGGCTCGTTCCCCATGCCTATTTGATGCGAGGGAGGCTCGTTTGCCAAAACCTCCCCAGAAGCTGCCAGCTCTGGGTCTAGGTGTGCTGCTCTGGTACCTGCACCACCACCGCTGGAAGCCAAGGCACCAGAAACAAAACGGTGCTGGGGGTTTGTAGCTGCCGCCGATTACTGGATTTATGCCTCGGTGCTGTTTGTTTGTACTGGCGTGAGTGGGAGGGGAGAACGCTGGAACTAATTGCTGCGTGTATAATTTTAAGAGACTTAATGTTGGGTTAGTCTCAAAGACTGGCTGGTGTTTAAACCTCTTAGTAAGGGGAAAAAGAAACGTGCCCGCGGCTGCCTGCCGTTTGCACTGCCTGCCTCTGAGGACAGGCACTGAGAATCTCACCCCCAGGGCAGCATTTGGAGGTGGACGGCGCTGAAGAAACGATGCTAACGCATCTGAAAAAACTCCTGCATCACTTGTGACCGTGAGCTGTGCTGCTCTAGAAGTAAGTCGGAATAGGATGCTCGAGTGTTTGCTGGGTTATTCTAACGTTTATGGTCCCAGCCAGCAGGGGCCGAGCACTCTGGAGGCTGAGCTGCAGCTCGGACCGAGGGTTGTGCACGCTCAGGACGAGGGGTGAGTGTCTGTGGCCTTTTTGGCTATGGCTATGAGCAGGGGAGTGAGAAACGGGGATAGCACGGCTGCAAGAGATTTGTTTATTGCAGGGCCCCCGGGGCTAGGAGGGCTGAAGTTGGCAGGGTTGGTTGGTTTATGATTAATTCGGCGAGAGTCGCTTGATTTATAGTTAAGGCTAAGAGTAGAGGCAGTGCGATAGTTTTGAATGTGGACTGGAAAATTGGAATAGTTACTGGATCTTGAATGGCCTTTGAAATGATGGAAGGGGCTGGAACTGCTGGGAATGGATGGTTTGTAGGGCTCGGGTGAGGTCTGGGGGGCAGGTGAGTCTGGAGTCAGGGTTCAAGCCAGAGCTGGGCTGATGGTTGGGTCAAAAGGGACTGAGAACATTGCTGGAACATGAAAGGCCCGTGGTTGGAAGAGTAGGACTGATATTAACGTCCTCGGAAGGTCCATGAATAATTCTTAAGTGAAACCAGGCCGCTGTATATCAATGGTGATGGTTAGATTTGGGAACAGAGACTGAACAGCTCAGTTTGGGAAAGCAGAACTTCCAAAATAAATGGGTCCTGAAGGACTCGGATAGGATTTGGCCCTGGCCAGAAGAGGGGCTGATAACCCCTCGTGGTGGGCGCCGGCTGGTTGGAACAAGGAGCCCGGAGGAGGTGAAGTCTTAGGCTTGGGACAGCTGGGACAAAAGAAGTCGCTGCATTTTGGGTCGTGAGAGGCCCAAAGAGCTACGACGACTGTGGAGTCAGCACAGACAGACGGCTGAGCTCCCCGGTGCATCACTTCGGTGTGATTGAGGTGAGTGTGGTGACGGTCACATGCTGGCAAGGTTAGCACCTACCAAGATCTGAGAGCTTGGAAAATACATGGCCAGTCAGAAATTAGAAGACCATTACTGCTAGTCTACAGAGATAACGGGAAAAGAGGGTGGTTGTGTTACCAGGGAGGGGATCTTTTTTTGGACGAGATGCATAACGCCTTCCACCAGTCCTAGAGTACGTTGTAGAGGTGCATGGGTCAACCCGGGCATGGAGAGGGAAATCTGCCCAAGGTGGTCAAGCCAACAGCAGGGCTCTGTTCCCTGGTTTGTCCTCCCTGGCTTCTTTGCTAGACCTCTCTGTTGTTGTTCCTGCGACAACAGGACAATGTGGATTAAAGCGTGCTCCTCGGGATTCCCCAGGTGAGAGATTTTGGGTTCAGGGGGGTGTTCCCCCTTGCTGGGGTGTGTGCTGGAGGAAGAGCTCTGGATAGAAATAGCTGGCAGCCTCACTCATGTTCAAAGCATCCCCTGATACCGGGCCTTCAAAGGAAATAAAGAACACCAAGAGCAAAAACCTACAAAAACAAACAAAAAAACAACAAACCACATGAATTTGCTCCAGCCAGTGCTTCTCTGGCACCAGGAGGGGTGAGCGAGGCTTTTGCAAGGACAGCAGAAGTAGGTGGCCGAGAGGCGTGTCCCGATAAAATCTAATTGCCCTATCGATCGGCTCCGGAGCCGCGCTCGGCTGCGGTAATGATTGAGATATTCGTAGGGGTTTGATGCATGGGAGCCGTATCTCAGCGCCCGGGGCCCACCGGGGACCTGGGGGTGTTGCAGCGATCTCTTAATCACGGAGCAAACCCGCGCGCGTTGGGCCCGCTCTGCGGCACTGCAGATTTATTACAATTATTATCACCGATGCACTTGGATTTCCTTAGGTCCCAGGGGGTGCTGGGTTTCGGGGAAGAGCTGCCCTGCTCGTAACTCTGAATTTTTAACTGGCTGAGGAAAAAAACATCTCAGTCCAAAAAAACATCTCAGTCCTAGGTTAGGAATTCACCCGTCTGCACCACCATGCACCTTGCTTTTCCTACCGTCCTTCCCTTGGTCTCATCTGGGTTGACCATTGGCAGTGTCAGGCTTTTAAGAATAGTAAATTCTCAGACTTGTAAGAATAATTAAATTAAGAATAAGTAATTTTCTGCTGCTTCTGCTTTCTCTTCCTCTCTGTGTGGCTGGGAGTGGAAGAGCTCGTGCGTGCAGGTTGGGAGCCCTGCTTCCTACAGTCTCTGGGTAACGTCTGCTCACCAAAGGGTTGTGCAAGTTTCAGGTGTGCAAATGTCCACTGCTTCCAGCGTGGATTGGAGTAAATGCTCTTGGAGGATCGGGGAATGTGGTGCAGGGGAAGGGTGTTTGCCTCTCTGCCAGCTCCAGAGATCTCCACTGATCAGAGTGATTCCCAGCTCCTCTTCTGAAGCCTAGGTTATATCTATGCTGGGCTTCCACCCAGCTCCTGGGTTTAATCTCCTCCTCTGAGCTGAACCTGACTTCATAAAAACCAGTATTATTATTGAAAATTGGAGCTGGCTGATGCAGCTGCTGAGAGGGGAGGGCAGCGAGGTGCCCCCTGCGCGCAGAGGAGAGGCGAGCTGCTCCCCTGGGGCTGGCAGCCTGCGGGAGGGCAGGGGAACACGCAGGGAGCCTGCCTGGAAAAATGTTTTTTTGCCATTCCCAGAGCTCCTGGGGCTGTTTACCTGAGAGAGGTTGGTGCTTGCTCCACTCTTGGCCCTGCAGCCCTGATTTTTTGTTCTGTCCTTCTCTCGTGGAGGTGCTCTGCAGCGGGAAATGCCGGAGGATGCT